CAGTTCCGATGAGTGCTTGTGGTGTTCGGCCAATCACAATGCACTTGGTCAGCTGGCCAATCAGAGCAGACTGTGCTTGTCGGAAGGAGGGACTTTGTAGAAAACGAAGCGTTTGAGAGAGGCGGGGCATAGAGGACCTACAATAATGTACAGTATTTGAAAAATGTGTTTTTTGAACATTAAAGCATGTCAACATTCTGTTACACCAAATACACAAAATAATGATCTTTAAAAAAGCATCATATGACCCCTTTAAATGATTCGGTTCAGTCGCAATGACTCACTTAACAGGTACTTACTGCCACCTACTGGGGTTTTAATTTCACATTTAAAGTATCTTCATTTTTTTTAAATTATTATTTCAAATATCAGTATTCAATGTTTTGTTTAATATATCCAAACGTTTATGCATTTGTAACTGCAGGTTAAATGCATTCATGTTCTGCATTAAACTGTGTGTAAACGCATCTAAATGCCACTTCAGGTGCAGCTTATGTCTGGATTGCAAAGATGAATTTTGTTAATACTGATTTAATTTGCTTGGTAACAGCCCAAATGTCGTCTTTTTCTAATTCACTGATTAAATGTAAGAATTTGACTCGAAAGATAATGCACACTTATAGAAAAATGGTTTTATAAAGGTAAAATGCCCATAAAAGGTACAAATCTATTTGAACTTATTGGAAAAGATTCATTTCTATCTGACCACCACACAGAATATGAAGAATATCAAAAACTTTAGGAGTCAGGTATCCACGAAAGTCCTTAAGATACCAGCATGATAACACTCAGTCAGTTGAATGAATGACTCAATACTCGCTCATCAAGTGACTTACCGCCACTTACTGGTAGTTTAGTTGAGAAGTATGTTATGCCAGCATTTACACACAAACAGTGCCAGCTGACTGAGGAGGAAGTCACCCACACGTGACTCATTGCTCATGCCCGCATTCACATTGAACGGGCAATAAGGCGGCTGAAGGTGTACAAGATTCTCTCACAGACTTTGCCTATTAATTTGGCCCCAGAGTTTGATAAAATACTGCGAATTTGTGCTGCTCTTGTAAATCTAACAGGGGAGCTTATCTCAAGCACATAGATAAACATTTATCATCACTTAAACTGCATGTGTTAATGTCATTAACAAGATACATGTTATTAATGTTGTTTTTGTACACTATGTAGACAGTAAAAATATTCATAGGATTCTTTCATGCATTTCATTCTCATGTTGCTTAAAAAATAAACTGATGAAACCTATTTACATTGTATTGGTATGTTTGTATATGGTGTACCACATTCCTCACCCTCTACTTGTTTAAAAGCTGCAGGTATGTCTTGCACAGATTTATCTTATCAGCAAAATCATCAACTATGCTGGCAGCATGTGTAAAAAGTAAAATTTCTGGAGCTGTTGCACATGAGCTTCTGCATAATTTGTCAAATGGAATGTCCATTTCTAGGTGCTCAGTTGATGTCCAGATGACCAGCTTGCAGCTCAGTAGACCCACACACACATCATGGTCAACTGGACCTGAAGGAAGATGTCACACTTCAAAGTTCAATAATTTAAAGGAATTTTTTGGGGTTAGTAGTAGGTTGTTTGGGTACTCTCTTTGCTGTGCTGGCAGTGATGCGGAGCTTTCTGGCATCATGCCACATTTGTGAGGTGCTCTGGACCTTAGTTTCTTCCATTAGTGTAGTTACTTGGGTGGGTGATAATTTTATGTAGGACTCATAAAACAAAAGGCACTTTCTACAACTTTGTGTTAAGCTGTGGTCTGTGTGTGATTAAAGGAATTTTTTGGGGTTAGTAGTAGGTTGTTTGGGTACTCTCTTTGCTGTGCTGGCAGTGATGCGGAGCTTTCTGGCATCATGCCACATTTGTGAGGTGCTCTGGACCTTAGTTTCTTCCATTAGTGTAGTTACTTGGGTGGGTGATAATTTTATGTAGGACTCATAAAACAAAAGGCACTTTCTACAACTTTGTGTTAAGCTGTGGTCTGTGTGTGATTATGTCTGTATCATGTTCACTTGAGCTGGTCTTGTTGCTGTCTACATCTGCTCTGAAGCTTAGCTGACCTTCTGTCAGCATCTGAAACAGTGGTGCCATCACAGATGAACTGCTATGGCTTACAAATGCAGCACGGTTCTTGAAATGCTGGGGGGGGTTGTTAAATCTGGAGGTAATAATGATGGGCCTGGATATGTGTGGCCTGGTCTATGGTGTTTAAAGTTGATGTGTTTTGCCTTCCTCAGCCCTACATTCTTCCTCGTGCCTGCTTTCCACTTCCTTTGCACATCAGTACATGACATGCTTGTCTTGCCTGACTGCATTATCTACCTTTTATAGAAGAAATTATAGTCTTTCCCTAGGATTGTAGCTTTTAGATGTTTAACACATTAGTTAGCACTCGGATTATGATTTTACTACTAGCCTAATACTAATAATATAGTACCATCATCAATCCCACTTCATATTAGGTGTCTTTAACGACTATGTGCATAGGGGGAGATTTTTTTTAATTTTTTTTAATGTGATTTGGATAAGGCTGGCACTGGTTCCATGATATGGGTAGGTTTAAGGGGTATGGTTAGTGTAATTTTAGATGTTTTATAATTTTGATAATTTTAGTTTAGTGTAAAAATGTATTTACACAATGCACAGTGCATTGTATCAAATGATGCATTTAAATGTTAGTACATTGTCGTTAAATAGTTTATTTAAAGTGAGTCCATCTTTTTATTTATTTTTACATGTATTTACTGCCCTTCCACATTACTGCAGAGACAATGCATCATCGTGTCATGTGTGCTGGGATGCAGTATTTTGCACTTTGTAGTAATAAAGTGTTGACTGAAATAAGTTTGTATGAATAAATTGTGTTTTTGGAGAATCATAATAGATTTATACATGTTAAAGCTTCATAATTTGTTTGTTAAATGAACCTGATTTATATATGTTAAAGCTACATAATTTGTTTGTTAAACAAACGTGATTTTAATGTCTTTCATTCATATATGCAGTGGTTTCTCAAATAAAACTAACCTGGTTGTGCATAGGGGGAGATTTTTTTAAATTTTTTTTAATGTGATTTGGATAAGGCTGGCACTGGTTCCATGATATGGGTAGGTTTAAGGGGTATGGTTAGTGTAATTTTAGATGTTTTATAATTTTTATAATTTTAGTTTTTAGTGTAAAAATGTATTTACACAATGCACAGTGCATTGTATCAAATGATACATTTAAATGTTAGTACATTGTCGTTAAATAGTTTATTTAAAGTGAGTCCATCTTTTTATTTATTTTTACATGTATTTACTGCCCTTCCACATTACTGCAGAGACAATGCATCATCGTGTCATGTGTGCTGGGATGCAGTATTTTGCACTTTGTAGTAATAGAGTGTGTTGACAAACAAGTTTGTATGAATAAAGTTTTTGTTTTTGGAGAATCATAATATCTCTTATCTGTTGTATTTGAGCAGGACAGGGATGCACTTTGGTGACACATAAAACAAATTACCAACATTATGTGTCTTTTGTGTCTTTCAATAATTTCCATCATGTTTGATGTGCTTGCAGAGCACAGGCATTTCCTAATTTCACTTCAGAATTTTTTGTTATACTTAATCTTTTGTTATATTTTTTATACTGTCATCATTTGTAAAGTATATATATATATATTTACAATGCATCATCGTGTCATGTGTGCTGGGATGCAGTATTTTGCACTTTGTAGTAATAAAGTGTTGACTGAAATAAGTTTGTATGAATAAATTGTGTTTTTGGAGAATCATAATAGATTTATACATGTTAAAGCTTCATAATTTGTTTGTTAAATGAACCTGATTTATATATGTTAAAGCTACATAATTTGTTTGTTAAACAAACGTGATTTTAATGTCTTTCATTCATATATGCAGTGGTTTCTCAAATAAAACTAACCTGGTTCTAGTTTTAGAATACTGCAAGCTGGCTTTCATAAATACATGTATTTTGTACATCTACTAGTCTTAGCTACAACATTAATACAATACAGTTTTAAAGTAGCAAGACAAGCAAAAACATTTCTTGAATCAATTCATTGTATTTTTAACAGTACGATACATTTTCACACAGTACGTGCTACAGAAACGTTCTGTTAAGATAAAAAATTGCTTAAATTCCATGAATGAATGACTATGAACAATGACAGCATATCCTGTCATTAGACAATTCAGAGAGAGTAAAAGACAAGACACCATCAAACAGGTGTTGTGGTAAAAGTTGAACAATAATGAGTATAAAGTAGTCCAAGCTTCTCTAGACGTTTTAAAAGCATAAGACACATCAAATCTCTGTATTATTTTTAACAGTACAATTATTTTTTTCACCGAGTATGTGCTACAGAAATAAGCTTTCTCTGTGTGAAGTTAAAAACTGTTTGCATTCCAAGAACGAATGACTACAAACAATGACAGCATATCCTCTGTCTTTAGACCGTTTAGATATAGTAAAATGCAACAAAACAAAGACACCATCAAACAGGTGTTCTGGAAAAGGTTAACAGTAATGAGGAGTATAAAGTAGCCCAAAGTACAATACATTTTTTCACTGAGTATGTGCTACAGAAATGAGCTTTCTCTGTGTGAAGTTAAAAACTGCTTCATGGAATGTAACGAATAACTATGAACAATGACAGCATATCTCCTGTCATGAAGTAAAAGACAAGACACCATCAAACGTGTTGTGGAAAAGGTGGACAATAAGGAGTATTAAGCAGTCCAAAGCTTCCCCTGACGTTTTTGGTTTGTTTTAAAAGCAGTAAGACGAGTCAATTTTGTTTAACTTTCAAGAATGTTCATTTCTGCGTGGACATTCCATTTTAACCACTCAGGTCCTTTTAACCAATCAAATTTGACCAGTGAAAAAAAACTAACTATACACATCAAACAACCACAAAATAAACAGTGGCCAACCTACTCCATTAACAGTTGACTCTGTATGTGCGGTATAAGTTTTCTTTGTGAGTGTGTGTGAAATAAAAAAAGAAACAGTGGTCCTTATTCCAAGAGGAAGTACCTGCCGCACCATGGAAACAGCTCAGTCAGAGTCTGTTTCTAAGAACTTGAGCTTTCTTTGATAGAGTGCAGCCTTCCAGCTCCATGACTTCTTTCTGCAGTACCTCAAAGGTATATTTCAGGTGGGTAGTTGAGATTTAAAGCATATATTAGACCAAAAAGCATTGCCGTAGCTAATGCAAAGTTGTCCAAGCCTTGCAAGACGTTCTGGCCTTCAAGGACAAACCTGATGTCCTAAGATCGGTCATGAAATTTAAGGACGTAGATTCCCACTGTGGTGGTCTCATTGGATTTTTGGATGAAGGCTTCGTCAGCAGTCTGCAGAATGCACAGACAAAATTTGATTTAACAGAACATTGGGCACTTCTCTGGGAATATTATAAAAAAAAAAAATTTCAATCAATTAATAATGTAGATCTAATGAAAAATGTGAACTTGTATATAATGAGAACAAGACAAGGCCAAGAAAATCACGTGACGCAGGGTAAATTTAGTTCCGCTATGCTCTTTTCTCAAATATCCCTTCTTACCTTTTCGGTTTTGTCCGTTTTCCAATTTGCTGTTGTATAATCCAAATTATAAGACTAGGCCAATTAAAAAAAATTATATTAACAATATAAAGATACAAATATACTAATATTAATGAAAATACACTATTCTTAAAAAGGTTATTTATCACACTATTGAGGTCCTTTGTAGCACTTTCAAAGCATGGTTCTTTATGGAACCTTATAAAAAGGGTTCTATTTAGCACCAAAAAGTGTTCAGAAGAACCCTAATTTGGTACTGTTTAGAACCATTTCAAGTGGGTTTTTTTACACTGCAAAACAAGAAATGCCACAAATATCACCGCAAATTTTGAGAAAAGATGCTGCAATTTCAGCCATTTTAGGCCAGAAATAATAAAAAAAGGTCCCGCAAAATCCTGGAGGGACTGATCAATAATCTAAGTAGCGGGTGTTTTTTTTTATGCAATTATTTGTTTATGAAAGACAGATCTAAATTAATAATTTCGCCGTGTATAGCCTGTCTATACAGATACAGCACATACAAATGGAAAAAACTGAAATTCAGTTAGAAATAAATTAAACGATTGGAATACTCACTTCTACTTTACAGCCAGCATACAAAGCAAAACAGATGTCAAACTGGAGGAACAAGGTGATAAAAGACAAGACATTAAAAACAAGCCATTTACTAGCGAATTAACGCCCCCGTTGCTTAGAACAAAGTGATAGAGTAAAATCTTTCCCCTGTGCTGTGCTGGGACGGCTCGTGGGTGATTCCCGTTTATATCATGAAGCAGAGGTTCAAACTCCAGTCCAAACACCACTAGCCACGAGCTTTGGGCTCTGCTCTCACAGAGAATATTTATTTATATAGCATATTTTATTTTAAATGAACTAGAAACAATGTTTAATTTATAAAATGTTATTTTGAAATGTAAGTCAATAACAATTGGCTGAAGCCAGAGCCAATGGTAAAAGTCTTTGCGCGTAGAGACCCCGCCCCATTTTGTAGGTTCTGCCCACTTTTGGAGTTCACACCCCATTTTGGAGATCTCCGGTCTGGTTATACCTACTTGGGCCTCTGAGCTTTTCAAATTGCTCATTGCCTTACCGTCACAAGCAATTGAATCAACAAAGTAGCTAAAAATGCTACTGTACGTTATGCGCAGCCACTTTTTTAAATCGTTCTCCCATTCCTCTATTAAGGAAGGGACGGGTATGTTGCTGTTGTCCTTTATAAGTTCTGTCAGTGTGTGATTCCACATCTTGCTATGAATGAATGAGAAGGGACACTGTGACTGCAGCGAATGATTATTTCTGTCATAACGGAACTTCCACCCATAATTCGCGCAAAGCATCATGGGGTGTAGGAAAGAGGTGGATAAACAAGTCCACCTTCAGGTCATTACACACATGCCGTTTTTTTCATGTAAAATATTAATATTGTCAGTAATATTTCAAAAACTTAATTTACTAAAACAAAGCAAATTGATTATTCAGAACTTTTTTTTTTTCTTTTTAAGAAAATTGTTAAAAATGCGAGAACCAGGAATCTGTCAGTTATCATTGCATTGTTTTGCCAACCACAATGAAAACTACAGAGCTTTCATCACAAAACTACACACTTAAATGCCATCTTTACTAAGGTAAGGAGATACAGAGTGACAACCAAAGCATCATGGGGTGTAGGAAAAAGGTGGATAAACAAGTCCACCTTCAGGTCATTACACACATGCCGTTTTTTTCATGTAAAATATTAATATTGTCAATTTTTACCTTCAAAAACTTCATTTACTAGACCAAAGCAAATTGATTATTCAGAACTTTTTTTTTTCTTTTTAAGAAAATTGTTAAAAATGTGAGAACCAGGAATCTGTCAGTTATCATTGCATTGTTTTGCCAACCACAATGAAAACTACAGAGCTTTCATCACAAAACTACTCACTTAAATGCCATCTTTACTAAGGTAAGGAGATACAGAGTGACAATCGAGATTTATGTGCATTTTATGTAGTGTGGTAGTTTGCTACACCTATAAAAATCTCACTGGTTCAGACGCTATCACAATTTTATTTACTTTTGTCCATTACACACACAGTTTGGACTTCTGAATATATTTTTTTTCCTCGAGTGTGAGCTCCATATTCTCACGATATCACACTATATACTCCATAAGCCATAATATGATACAAAACACACAGGTTCAATAAACTGTTACATAAATTAATAATAAAAAAAATAATTGCTGACTTATTTGTCAAGATTTAGTGTAAGATAAGATCTCATCATTTGAGATTTATCTTTCCTATGAGGATGCATGTTTAAAAAAAAAATACGAGTGATATGTCCTTATAGGTTGACTCACAGATGCTGCATCATTATGATAAACTTGTCGGAAATAAAAGAATGTAAATAAATCCCAACAACTGTTTCAGCAGCTTCAGCTGTCACAGCTGAAAGGTGTGTGCATGATACCAACATACCATTTGTTAACGAATTTAGGGCTAATTTAATGGTGAAAATATAATTTGATGTGATGAACCCATTTGAAAATATATAATCGTCGTCATAACTGAATTTAAACTTTAATTCCGCCCAGTCCATTTAACATTAGAGTCAGTCAATCCCGCAGGCCTCACACACCGTGACCGAGATAAGAGCTCTCATTTTGTTAAACTGAACCCATGTAAGATCCGTTTATATACTCACTGGTCATTTTTGATCAGTTTTGTCCGATTTTCAGATTAGCTCACCCAAAGGGCCGCTATCTTATTTCCCAACCAACAAACCGATGTCTTTACTGTCCGGCGTCAATTTCAAACTTCTTGAAGAAGCCACAGCCTCGCGAGATCTTTCGGCAAAGATACAATTATTACCAGACTTCGCATTGGCCATACTGCTCTAAATTCTTCTCTATATAAAATGAATAAGCATGAGTCTGGGAACTGTAGTCTGTGTGGATTACCAGAAACAGTAGAGCATGCACTATTACATTGTTCTGCTTATGATAATGAAAGAGCATTTCTGTTGGAAGAATTAAAAGAAATAGGGATAGGAAATATGACACTTAAAACTTTGTTGAATAACGGCTTGAATCATTATAAAGTATATAATGCTTTAATGACAGTCCTAAAAAAAAAGTAGATCTGTTTAACAGGATTTAGAAGAATTAAAAAAAAAATTTATTTTCTATTATTATTATATAATTTATTATTAAATATTTTTTATGTATTTATTAAAAAAAATAAAAAATAATAATAAATGTATTATTATTTTGTTGTTGTTGTTCTTCCTATTCCATCAATGGTCCACACTCCAGCCCAGTAGGTGGCGGGAATGCACCTATCGTTTGTTTGCCAACCGCCATAAAACTCCAAAAGAAGAAGAAGAAGAAGAGCTTTCGGCACAGGAGGCAGTCATTTGATTGGATGCGACCATAGACTGTATAAACGTGAAGTCGTAGCTTTCAGTCACGTGACCGGCTCGAAGCCCTGGAGGCCAAAACATCCACAGAACTGCAGCACAAGCCTGTCCATTTTCCATCTGTTTCACAGCCGCAAATATTTAGATCACCTCTCAAAAGATTAAAACAAAGGTATGTGAACAAAATGCAAGTTTTGTCCATTTGCAATCCTTATTAAGCACCCGCGGCGTTATTTCAATCATTAAACGGTGCGACAAAAGGTTGTAAAAACACTTAAAGTGCCTTAACACCGTAATATTCTCTATATGAATGATGCATAGTTTACATAAGCAAGCAGATGAGGCCGGAATATGAAAGCAATCGAATCCGCTTAATGGTTCAGTGTTTTCCTTCTAATGGTTTTCTATGGGAAACCATTTAACGTGAAACCTTGAGTTTATATTCTGGCTTCATCTGCTTGCCTGTACAAAATATACGTAATCCATAAGGTGTTTACTGAATTTCGCCTTTTAATATCTGCGTTTTACTACATTACTACTTTATGCAAACTGCGTAAAAATAACTGGCGGTGAGTGGAGCAAAGCTTGGTTTTGTCCTCCAGGTGGGCGTTCCTAAAAGGGTGTGACGTCGCGTGAAAACGCAATACTCAAGATGAATGTTTTGGGGAGTATGTGCAAGAAATGTGTGTATTTCATGTGCTTTTATTTTATTATGAATGACATTTTGAAATGTAAAAAAAATAAGTGTTTTAAAGTTTTCATTATTTTATTATGAAAATACCATAAGTGGGCTCTTTGCCGACCAAATTTCTTTATTTTAATTTTATAAATGACTTTATACTTTAGGAACAAACTAAAAGCACTGAATTGTACTGGCAGTACAGTACAGTACTGGCAGTGTTGGTTGTTTTGTTCTTGTAGCATTTAATTAAAATATGTACGTATATTTATTTTTAGGGTTATAGTAAAAAAACAAAATAATAATAATTATATATATATATATATATATATATAATAACATTTGAAACTGGATTTTTGGTAACTGTAGATGTGGTGTTATGTTTGTGATATTAAATCAATAAAAAAAGCTAAAGGTTGGGGTAGAGAATGATGCCTACGAGCTACAAGCACAGGTTAGCAAAAAAATCACATGACATTTTTATTGATTTTGGGGTGAACTAAAATAAGATATATCTAAACTTAGTTGGTTAATGCTTTTTTTAAAAAGCATTTTAAGTCATCATGAGCCCCCCTGCTATGTTTGCCGAACTACTGCTTTAGACAATTTTTTTCTTATTGTGACCTTTAAAAAAAAAAGGCATCAATTAAAACACATTCCTGTATTTATTTATTTATTTTTGGCACTCAAATGACCATAGCAAAGCAAAGCAGAACTGACCCTTCAGCCATTCATCTGAGATATGCCACCTGCGCTGTTCAGAGACAATGCCTTCATCATGATACAACAGTCAGCGACAGAATCTGTGATTCTCCTCTAACATGTCACACCAACTGGTTTGGGCAACAATAGATTAATCAGCCATCGTATTAGATCCTCTGTACAGATGAGTCACCGTTCAGTCTGTTTACAGGAGTGCCAGAGTGTGGAGGAGGACAGAGTAATGCTCATACCCAGGAAACTGAACCCTGGAGTGCCAGAGTAATTGTGTGGGTTAGTATTCAAGGCCGGATGTAGTTACATTTCTGTGAGCAGCTGTAAAGTCAACATGAAATCAAAACGGACCTTATTTACATCCCTAATGCCTTTTCCTGGTGTCCTTCATTATGAATGATATGTTATTTCACAGAAGAAAAAAAAAATATTTTTATATATTGGTTTTCAACATTTTTTACCCGTAGTCCAACACAATATTCAAACAACTCTCCATTTAAGGTGATATATTTCCTCTGGTATTTCAGCTGCAATTATGACAAAGCTGCTTGTTTATCTAACCACAATGTCTTTCTTTCTTTAAGAACTGAATATTCAAAAAAAAAATTGAAGGGGGGAGATAGTGAATGCTAAAACAACTTCGGTGAAGAATATTTTAATATATGTTAATTATGGTATTATGTATATTTTATTCATTATAATATATTAACATTTATCATGAAACAATTCTAATAGCTGAAGAGCCATTTAAAAAAAATGGTCTTCGATTTATATTTCACAATTTGAAAGTAGAATGGGTTTAGAAATTAATGTTGTAATGCTGATTTTATTTTTATTCTGTTAGTCCTTTTGTCATCAAATAGATCAAATATAAGTAACAGTTGATTAATTTGTTGTATAGCCATATTGTTCATCTACAGTTTGAATGTTGTTTTCTGCAACATTTTGGTTGTAAATGTAATATTGATTTCTTGTTCATTACTGGAATTTAGGGGAACAGCTGCCATTAAATCATGGTAGAAAAGTCAGGGATGAAAAATACAAAACGTGTGTAGAAATGAAAAAGTTAATATGTCATGTAGCAGAAAGCAAAACAAAACACCAAACATATTAACACTAGTGTTTTTATTGCAAGTAGTTTAAATGCATTTGCCTTGACCTTTTTTCTGTTTTGCATAAGTTGGTGTGCCACCGGTAGAACCGCCCATAAAGCTGCTCTTTAAACAGTTCAATGCATTTTTCCTCCGTCCCTTAGCAGCTCTGGGGAATGCTTGTTTGTGAGACTTAGTTAATTTGCAAGTAGGTCGAGAGAGCTAGTTCCGTGCGGTCAGAACCACAGATGTGACTAAACTGCCCAAAGCCACCACCAGAGCTCCAAGCAGAAACTTCCAAGAAATTCCCTGAAAGAGTAAGAAACGAGATCAAACAATGGTGGCACTTGCGACGCCAGCTCTGGCACATTTTTAAAGGCCCTTTCCACCACTTTTATTCTCTTCACTAGGTGGTAGTCAGTCACTTACAAACGGCTTTTTTGGGGGAGGAGGTGTCAGAAAGGGCGCTATGTTTTCAGCTGGTTTAGCTTGCCAACTCTCGGTCTCACTTTCCCCCGCCTGTCTTTTTACCAACTTGGACAGTTCAGCATGAATGGCCTATAAAAATACAATATGAAGAAAAAATATTAGCATTCAAACTCTTAATATAGAGTATAAAAACAACTTTATAAATCTTTGTAGCCTACAGCTCTGTGGAAAAATAAGGTGGTCCTGCACTTTCTAACACTGACCAACAGATGGTGCCATTTCACCGTCTGCAAGCTGCGTTTATTGTGTAGTACTGGATTATACATTTTTATGACCTCTTTGTTATCAGTGCGAGAATCTGGTATGTGACTGAAATCACTTTACTGAGCTTTTTATAGCCTATTCTTTGCTACTTTAACACCATGCAGATTTTGATTGTGAAATCTTAATGTTTTCCTTAATATACCACTTTTAGTGAGTAAAGATTTACATAGGCCTACACGTGTATTTTAATCAAAAGCCATTAGCACAGAGTATACACTTAAGAGACTGCTAAAATCAGAAGTATATAGCAACACATGTATTACCACGTTTTCCATCCCATGCCATCTCTGACTCTATTATCCTAATTTGAATTTTGCAATGAGTTCCCTCCTGTGGGAATGTTTGCTTTTTGCCCCGCCATCCAGACGGGGTGTCATTATAGGAACAGCAGATATTTTAGTTTTGTCTAGACAAGGCTCACTCTTCACCATGAGCACTCTGGGTCAAAGCATAGTGTGAGGGGACCTGAGGTCAATCACAAAATCACTCATCAGCAGGCCCAGACACAATCTGTGAAATGTCTTCGCTTCATTCTTTCTTATATCATCCCAAATTTGACACATATTTTATTTATTCATTTACATTTACATTTAGTCATTTAGCAGACGCTTTTATCCAAAGCAACTTACAGTTGGGGATACATAAAGCGATTCTTCTTAAAGAGGCAAACAGACACAGGAAGTGCTTGTAATACCAACATTTTAGACATTGTTCAAATAAGTACAAGCTAGAAAGAGAAGGAATAAATAAAGAGAGAGAATATATATATATATATATATATTTATGATGATGAAATTTATCTTTGTTATTGTAATATAACATTTGGGAGATATATATACACAAGTGATATGTACTATATATATATATATGTATATGTGCATATTGCATTATGCTTTCATGGAGTTGCATGTTGTGCAACTTTATAATAAAACAGATAGAGACATGACATTTTGCTATTTTTTTTTTTTTTTTAGCAGAACGGGCCATTATACTATTCAGTATTATGAATGAAGCTAGTTGTTCTGTTTATTGCTTCTTGAATGTCATAAACCTCCACAGTGTATAGTGCTGATTCACTTTATTACTGGAAGGTGCGCGTGCGTGTGTGTGTGTGTGTGTGTGTGTGTGTGTGTGTATGTGTAACTTTGTGTCCATGTACTGGCTCCAGACAGCTCTAATCTTGGTGGCTGCTCTGAGGATTTGACAGATTCTCAAAGGCGTGACAGAACAGGTTTTGGTTCTGTGGATTGTAACGCAGCACAAAACTCATTCTCAGATATTATTAGAGTCTAGCTGTAGAAACAAATATTTGCATGTTCACTCAGATATTGTTAGCATGCACTCGTATGTTGTGTGGAATTTCTCAGGACAGGTTTTCACTTCCTTGTCTTAAGTTTGTGTTGAATGTTCAAACAGACCAGTCGGGAAACTGATATGTATATGAAATGCAAACACATTAGAAAGACATTTAAAAAAAATGTCTTAAATAGATCCACAATGCATTCTCTGTTTTGGTACTCATTTAAAATCATTTTGGAATGTGTTTACTAATGAACATTGGAAGCTTAATATACTAATAAAGCACATTTTGGCTTTAATGCAAACTTCATTCTTGACCCACAGTGAGTATGAGTTGGCATTGAATTTGAAATAAATAACACTGTTCCTGTTAGGCCAGGTTTTTCCCAAAGGTCAGTTGATCTGTAAATAGCTGCTAATGGGATTTTCTGTTGCCAGCTCACGTGAAATTTAGATGTGTTCAGGAGATACAGTTACACCTCTCACCTTAGTGGACGGCTCCAGTTTCAAAGCCTTTTTCAGGGTCTCCATGGCCTCCTCATACTCACCCCTGTCCGATAAAAGCTGCAGACACATTTTACATTACCAGATTACAATAAATATGACTCTTTGTTTTTGGAAAAAGTACAATCCAGATGGAAATATAAACCCATCATGTATGAACTGTAAATAATCTCAGTGCCTAGTTTGTTGAATAATATTGAATAATATTCATCCATACCTTCCCTTTCCTGAATAATGCTTTGACATTCTGGGGATCCAGGAACAGCACATCTTGACTGGTGTGCAGCGCCTCGTCAAACTGTCCAAGCTTCAGCTGTGCTGCTGCCAGGTTATTCAGACACTTT